TCAACTTCTGATCAACACACATGCACATACCTGTACAACACGTGCACACACCACACATACAAAAAGAAGTCCAAAGCTGGGCACAAAGGGACTCACCTGTGATTCCACCAATAAGGAAGCTAAGATTGGGGGGGGGGGGATTTCTGCAAGTTCAAGGTCAGCCTGGCCCTTTTGATAAGTTTCAGGTTAGTGTGGACAATAGAGTGAGAGCCTGTCTTAAGGAAACAAAACAAAAATTAAGTCAGTCAAGCTCATGTTGAAACATCCCTGAATTGTTACTTTTCTATTGTAATACAATGCCATGACCAAAGGACTTACAGAAGAAGACTCTTACCTAGGCTTTAAGTTCCAAAGAGTGAGAGTCCAAGATGGCAGAATGAAGGCATGGTGGCTGGAGCTGGAAGTCTGCCCCAGTGGGGTGGTTTGACAAAAAAATGGGCCACAAAGAGAGTGGCATTATTAGGTGTGGCTTTGTTAAAGTTGCTGTGGCCTTATTGAAGGAAGTATGTCACTGTGGAGGTGGTCTTTGAGGTCTTGTATATGCTCAAGTCATGCCCAATGTCTCAGACACTTCCTGTTGTCTGCAGGATCAAAACTCCTCTTTCAGCACCATGTCTGCCTGCACACCGCCATGCTCCCTGCCATGATGATAATGGACTAACTCTCTGAACCGTAAGCTGCCACCTCTATGAAATGTTTCTTTTATAAGAGTTGCCTTGGTCATGGTTTCTCCTCACAGCAATAAAACCCTAACTGAGACACCCAGTGACATCCCCCAAAAAGGCCACACTTTCTAAATTTCCCAAACTGCCACCAGTCAGGGACCAAGTGTTCAAATGCCCAAGGGAAACTAGGACATACTCAAACCATCACAGTCCCTGAAATTTCTTGCCAAGTAGTTAATTCCATTTATAAAAGCCTACACCTATTTCACTGAGTTGTAACATTTAACGCATGCACATGGTGTGCAGAATGTCAAAGGCGGCTGTGGGAAAACGAAAAGAAGTTTATTTGGGGTTTTTTTGTTGTTGGTTTTGGTTTCGGTTTTGAGACAGGGTCTTTCTGCATAGCTAGGCTGGCCTGGAACTCACTGTGTAGACCAAGCTAACCTGAAACTTTCAGCAATCTTCCAGCTTCTGCTTTACAATTACTAGGATTAAAACATGCTCTGCAGGGCTGGAGAGATGGCTCAGAGGTTAAGAGCACTGTCTGCTCTTCTAGAGGTCCTGAGTTCAATTCCCAGCAACCACATGGTGGCTCACAACCATCTGTAATGAGATCTGG